TGATTTGTTTAATGTTTTAAAAATTCTACAATGTAAGTTTGTCTTTTGTTTCCTATGAAGTGTGATCTGTTGGAATTCCAGCAGTTTCATTGAAACAGTAGATGTATATGTATCTATTCATTGCTTTTGGTAAATCAAGCTTAAGGAGGGAATGTTTAGATTAGATATCAAGGGGAAATTTTTCACAGAGAAAGTGGTGAGGTGGTGGAACAGAGAGGCTGTGGATGCTCTGTCCATGGAGATGTTCAAGGTTGGATGGGACCCTGTGCAACCTGGCCTAGTACCAGATCTGGAGGTTGACAGCCCTCCCTGTGCCAGGGGGGTTGGACGTTGATGATCCTTGAGGTCCCTTCCCACCCAAAACAGTGATTCTGTAATTCTATGATTAACTCCCTTACCTGTTCTTAACACTTTATATTAAAGCAGTATGTGTATTTGCTGTAATTTTATGATCTCTTCCTGCTTCATTCAAAACTAAACAACATAATTTCAAAGTCATGACTAGCAACTTCAGACATGCAGAGTGGTCTTAAATCTACATTATTTCAAAGGTATTAGAAAATAGTTGATTCTTATTGATGCTACATTATGTCATGTTTACTTCTCTCTGGAAAGTATAAGTAAAACAATTTCACCTATATTTAAATATTGTTTATCAATATTTTGGAATATCCCACACTTTAGGCATGCTGAGCAGTAGGAAACTACAAACCATTTCCTTCAATCATTGTTTTATTCTTTCCCATAACATATCAGTTTTTATGTTTGAAATACCAGAAGGATGCAAAATAGTCTCTCGACTCTTTGTCTACCAACTTTGTTGGTGTTATATAATTGTGAAAGTGTTGAACAAAGAAGTGGAGTAGATGATGAATGATCTGAAAAACTGTTTTTCTTTACAGATTCTGATTCTAAACTCTGTCAGATTCATAGCTGTAGTATTCAGCGTTGTTTTAATTTATCTGGAATAAAAGGAATGATAAAAAGGAAAGAGCAGTGAGTGTTTCCACAGAAACACGTTATGCTCTCAGCCAAAACTAAGTGCTGACCTTGTATTCTGAAAGATGGTTTTGAAGAAAACTTGCTCGCTGATCATAGAATCATAGAGTTTCCTTACATAAATCATTCTTCTTGCAAAAGTATAGAAATACTTCACGTAGAAATCAGTACTCCAGATTCTTTCCTAAAATCCAGTCCCACCCTTTTGCCACAACCATCAGACTGTACTTACTTTCATAAATCCTTGCTTCAGAAAGCAGTGTTACTGTGCTTAACTCATGATCCTGTTAGGGACTGGATATACAGAGATTTTTTTTGTAAATATTACTCTATTCAAGAGAAGTAATATCAGATTGTTTATGTAAGAATGCATAAAAATCATTATGAAAGCTATCAGCAGTCTGTCTTCAGCAAAATACTGTCATCCAGTTTTCTCAGAATGAGTTCTTTAAAATCCATTCTGTTTATGTATTTGCAGCCTGTTAATATTAAAGAGCTGTTCCATGATTATGAAATCCATTTATGACTGAATATTTTTCACTTTGGGAGCAAAAAGAGGTCATTTCACCATCTAGAAAATTGCAATACATTTTTCTGTCCTATATTCTTAATCTCCAGTTATATAAAAAAAAATATTTATTCCCCAATTCATTTTGTATCTGGATCTCTGATTAAGATTGCTCTTGAGCCACTTCCCTGACTGTTTCTGCTTCTCAGTAGTATTTAGGAAGCATTAACTCAAAATTACATTTTTCTTAGTTATGTAGAATGTTGAATTTACTTGATCTAGTAGGGACAAGTTTTAGGCTAGTGAAGAACTATCAGTTGGATATGTTCAACACAGGTTTATTTTAGCAAATGTGTACATGTCAAGCTTTTTATTTTCACAAATAGGAAGCTTATGTATCTAAATACAAGGTTAACTCAGACAGAAAAGTATTAAGATTCTATCTTCTGCAAGATTGATTAACGATCAGTTCCATTCTAAGTAATACTTGAAATTTAGAAACATCAGACTTCAGACAAGGGCAGAGAATAAGGGTGAAACTTCCCTCTTTACAACTGTTGATTCCTTCTCTTCTCTCAGAATTTTGATGTCTTTTCCAGTGGTTGCATGATATCTCTTCTTTTTTCTCGATTATATTTTTTTTAAACGAAGCGGAACAAAACATTTGTATCACTTTCTTTGGTCATGAAAGACTATAACAAATACAAAAATGTGTCAGCATGGGAACAAAAGATGAAAAAGTCTGTTTGAATTCATATACAGTCAAGCCCCAAGTGATAGGGTAAGAAACACATTCTCATTTAGAAGCTACAGAGGGAAAGACATGCCAGTATGGTCAGACATGGCTGTTAATATATAGAGTCTGGTATGTAGCTCAGCTGAGTTTCCAAAAGTCTATGCAAAGCAGATTTTTATAATTTATTTTGTTTTTGTTTTTTTTTTAATTAATCGAATACTGTAGATTAATTGGCTTTCATTCTGAAAGATGAAGAAGCTTTATTTCATAACTTTGAGTGGGGAAACATTGCCTGATACAGTTATGCAAGCTGTGAAATTGCTGGCACACGTGCCTTTTATTTACACATGTATGTACTTTTCCAAATTCATGTGTAGGTTGGAGACAATGTAAATCTAATGTACATCCACATCATTACTTTCACTGCTACACAGTGGACAGAGCATATAAAAATAATGAGAAATGGTTCACTATTTAGCAAACTTGATTGTTCTTGTACTTACTGAAAGAAGACATTCAGAATTTTTCTTACATGCAGAATAAACTTTCAGCTACATCATAACACTTGTGTATTTGGGCCCTTACTCATGCAGCCAGTGATTTAAAGAGTCACTTCCTGCAATAACGTACTTCCCTAAGTTACTGCTCATTTACCTTCTCAGTGCTGGTTTGTTATCATTTCCCCATTCTTTGTATTTCGTTCGATCTGCATTTTTTTTTCTAGTCAATACATGTAGCCATTTTTGTAGATAAAATTAAGAAAAAATTAGTTTATTTAATTCATTTCTTACTTCACTCATTCTTATTTTGGTTAAGCTGACTTGTGAATTTGTGTAAAAAAACTAAAATGAGCCATGTATTTTTATGACTTCAGTGTCTGGATATTAAAGTATGATAGATTTCAGTTCTGTTTTCATTCTGGAATTCCAATTTACTGAGTTCTGAATTTGTACCTACAAAAATTTCCTCAAGCTCCTTCAGGAAACAGTTGCTTTATGTATCTGAAAATGTCTTCATGCACATGAATACAAACACTCAATGTGTTGTCAGCATAATCAGTTAGGGCCTGGGACATTTATGTGGATGGTGAAGTCATCTTACTAGTCTTTCAGACCTAATGCTGTTATAGCATGCTAATCAGGACCATTCAGCAAACAACGGACAAAACTTTTAACTGGATGTCAGATGCTGCTCTTGATTCTGCTTTGCAAAGCCATTCAGACTCTTGGCTTTCAGGGGTTGACTGTAAGGGTAGAATTGGAAAGTATTGAAAGTTCAGAGTGATGCATGAACTAGAATGTTGCATGACTGATGAACTTGACAAGTCTAGAGCTTACAGAAATCATAATATCAATCACCAAGTGCCAGAAGCCATTGAAATAAAGAAGTGCTAACTCATGCAGTAAAACTTCTGCAGGTTTCTTAAGAATATAGAAATTGATAACCAATAACACAAAATTATGACTCCATGACTCTATCTAGTAACTTGGAAATAAGAATTTGGTGTAGATTAATATGAAATGCTTTAAAGTATTAATTATACAGTAGAAAATAAATCAAAATTATTTTTAATCCTGTTCCCAGAGTAGGCAGACAAAATCATGGAAGGAATCCCTACACTAACATTATGCTTTCAAATTATAGTAGATTTTTTTTTCTGTAGTCTCTAACAGCTGCACTAATTTTATGATTTTCAATTGTAAGCATTGTTTTGTTAGCCATGATGAGAGTTGTTGGAAGGTAATTCACATATGCAGTATAACACGGTTACCACAGACATAATGAAGTAATTATTTGATTTAGCATGTTTGCTAGTATCTTCTGGTGGCAAGATACTGGCATGGTGGGCTGTTTTTTGAAATTTACTTTACCTTGTATGCAGCCATTTATTTGTTTCATATGGGTGGCTTACTAACAAAAAGTTTGAGGCAGAGCCAGTAAGAAATCTGAATCACAGCAATAATAATGACAATATTTTGATGTAGCCTCCATTCTGGGAGAAGGAATAAATACGGTATGTCTTGGCACTAGTAAGGCTTTTGATATAATGTTTTTATAAATGAAGTGGAGAATTACGACCTACATAATTACCTGCATATTGAAATATACAACCAGTAAAAACCAGACTGGAAAAAATGAACAGGGACATGGGAACAGCCTTCAGCTGTGGAATTATGTGAAGGCATGAGATAAATAAAGCATTTCTAATTGTAACACATTATCTGAGGGTGTGGTAGAAACCATTGCATGACCATTTTGGATTAGCAGTCTTCCAAAGTCTAACAATATATGTACTTATTCCAACTTCAAAGTAGGGAGCTAAGTTAAATGATATTTGAAAGTCCTCTCTAGCCCTGCTTTTCTGTGGGAATACTCTCTTTATTTTTGAATCTTGCACTCACTTTGTGCAAAATTATATAAAGGCTTTTCAGTTCACGTAGCTTAAGAGGTGTAGGTTAATTTCAGAGCAGTGTATGGAATTTGAAATTAAACTTCTATAAGGCTATTTATCAGTTTTCTTACTGTAGAACCAAAACAGACTGAGTTTACATTAAAAAAAAAACACAAAAGCACTATATATCAATTCTCATATTATGAAGTTACCTTGCAGTTCATAAAAGTTTATTCTTTCACTATGCTCATTATGAGGTATAAAACGTAAGCAATGAAGCATAAATAATTCTTCAGTCCTAGAGATGCTTGCAGATACCAGTGGAATTGTGGTAGTATGGTAAATATTCTCTTTATTTTCTACAGAAATGTATTTTCTGCAGACAGAGAGTTAAGAAAACCTCTGGTGCCTGCATTCAATGTTCATACGGACGCTGTCCAGCCTCCTTCCATGTGACCTGTGCCCATGCTGCAGGAGTGCTGATGGAGCCTGATGACTGGCCATATGTTGTCTACATCACTTGTTTCAGGCATAAGATCAACCAAAATGTGGTAAGGAATTTGTTTAATGATATATTGCAGAATTAAAATATGTTTTCAGAGAAAATGAAAGAAGGGATCCACATAATGTATAATGGCTTCATCTGATATATTTCTGGGCATAAAAAAGTATTTCATCTGGAAGGTTTTTTTCTCATTATGTTATCTGGTAGAAGTAATACTCAGATTACTTCTGAGTATTACAGGCTGAGAACTTTTTTGCATTAGACTCATTGTTGAATATGTTGTTTTGACAGCAGCATAAGTGTCTGAGTTCTCTGTTTTGTTAGTGTGGAATGTATTGAAAATACCCAGATCATAGTATCTTTCAAATGCTCTCAGATATCGAGGGTTGTGGTGTATATGTAAGTTCTTTGTACCACAGCCAAGCAATGCCACGCAAATATCCAGTTATAATCATTATTTCATCTGGAAAAGCAGCAGTGATATGTCATGAAAATTCATATTATTTCTATATCTTTTTATTTCTAGCCGATGCTGAGGAAGCACTTTTGATTTTAGATGAGAAACAAGAAGAATTAGTTACCACAGTCTCGTAGGTTTATTATCTAAAAGATAAATTCTTAATGAATTGTTACTTATTTCAGAGAAATCTTGCAGTGTGTCTTGGGCTTTTAAGAGTGTATTTTCTTTCCTAGCAAACTAGAAGAACTTATTGTGATATCATTGAAGAAATAACTTGATACACTGGTGAAGTTGAAAATTCTCAAATTTCAAACTCTTTATTTTAATATGTACTTAATCTCCTCTATACACTAAAATTGAAATAAACCCAGTTATGTATGTATAATGTATATCTTTCTTTCAAGAGACTGTCAGTGAACCTTTGATCCTAAGAACAAGACTACTGGAACATAAGATCTCCTTTTAAGTATAATAAAATGCCTCCCAACTAGAGTGGTGAGCCAGTCCTGAGTTTCAGTCTGCTGATAGTTCATAAAAAGGCAAATGAATCGTATGTCCCTGTTTAAAATCTCCCCAGAAATGTTATGTGTTATAAAGATTTTTGTTTTAAAAAAAAAAAAAAAGTAAGCATATAAAGCCAGTACACTTTGCATTGTTATTATGTCTTCATACATTTTTTATAAAAATGAGTTTGGTTTAAAACACAAGCAAACTGCAACCTTTATCTGTACTTGTAACTTAAAGTTCTTGGCTTGTTTAGAAAATGTTACTCACTAGTTGAAAATTACTGGACCAAAGCATGGCCAATGAAAATACAGCTGTTCTTCCTAAATGTTTAATTGTATTTCTTTTCAGACACTGAACAATTACTCCAGGTAGTGAGATATTCATCAATAGCTGGGAAGTCATTACTTGATCAAATAAGTTTTTCTACAATATGCTTTCTTTTGTATCCACTTCATGTATATATTGTGGCTACTGCTCTAGCCCCTCAGTTTTCCAAACTTCCTGTAATGTATTTGTCTATTACACTAGCAGACCCTTATTCTCCCTGAAAATGACAAGTTATTTTTTTCACCTATTCTTTTTTATGATACTGAACGTGCTGTTATGGATTATTTCTTCTATGTATAGTGCTAAACAAGTGGTAAATCTATCCTAAACAGACTTTTTTCTTTTCTCTTTTTTTTTCTTTTTTCTGGTAACTCTATATCCATGCTAGTTATTAATAAAAATACCTACAAGATATTAATGAAAAACATGTAGATCATTTAAGCAAATTTATACTTTCTATCTAATATAAAATATTGCAGGCTTCAGCACTGTCATTTGACTTTTAGCATGCACTTTCCCTAAAAGAGGAAAAAAAAAACTTTAAAACAGCTGTTACTTTGAAAGCTTAGAAATTAAGTGCATCCTTGTTCCATTTAACACAATGGTAATAAAGTGGGAGGGATTCCCCCCAGATTCTCAGAGATTTTCAGGACTTGTATTTGGTAGCATCAAACAGAAAAAAAGTGTGAAGAAAGAAGATTTTGTGTAGCTGTTTTAAAGTGTTTGTGTGGATGGTATTCAAAATTGATTGGAGTGAAACTGAGCTCACCTTTTTGAAAAAAAATCTTCATTATCTTTTTTCACTTGGCTCAAATCAACGTCAGATGTGCTGAAGAGAAGGAAAAATAGTGTGTGTTTCTTTCTTTGTTTTTCCTTGGACCTGAGTTTGGGAGGACCAAACATTTTGTTAAAGAGAGTTTTTCTGTAGTAATCTTCAGTTAGCCATGAATGCAGTGGATTGAGCCTGGCTGGCTGCTTGTTGCCCACCAAACCGCTGTCACTTCACTTTTGCAGCAGGGCAAGGAGAGAAAATAGGACGAAACAGCTCATGGGTTGAGATAAGGGCAGGGAGATTGCTCACCAGTTACTGACACAGGCAAAACAGGCTTAGCTTGGGGAAGATTAATTAATTAATTAATTAGCTTGGGGAAGATTAATTTAACTTACTGCCAATTACTGACAGCAAAGCAGTGAGAACTAAAAGCAAACTAAAAGCACTTTCCCTCCATCCACACTCTTCTTCCTTACACCCCCCTCCCCGAGCAGTGCAAAGGAATTAGTAGTGGAAGCTGTGGTCAGTCCATAGCATTTTTTCTCTGCTGTTCCTCCATGGTCACACTCTGCTGCAGCTCCACGTGAGATCCCTCTAATGGGGTGCCACCCTTCCTGCACCAATTCATCTACATGGGCTTCCCACAGGCAGCAGCTGTGATCTGCTGTGGGGCAGCTGCTGGGCTCATCTCACAGAGCCCACCCCAGCAGCCCCCAGTATTAATGTTCTAAGTAAGCTGAATTGCCAATAGACTGTGGCAAAAGTGTCAAGGATTTATTTATGATCGGTTTTTAATTTCTACCTTTTGAATTACCTAGTCATGCCTTTAAGGTTTGGGATTTTCATTGTCATTGTTTTTCTTGTTATACCTTTCTTTACTATTAGCTGGTCTTCTGTGCAGACATTATATTGCTCTTCACTATTAAGTACAACTATACATCTTTATTCTAGTGTCAGATTTTTGTCTATTTTCATTTCCTTGTTTACAAACAGAACAAAGGACATGCAGATTCACTCTGCAAATTTTTGCAGGAGTCAAATACATCTTCTTTTCAGCAAGGATAAATTTCTCCTTCTATTTAGTAGTTCAAAGCACTCCACATAAAGCAAGGATGCTATTTCTCCCCATTTCAAGGAAACAAAATTACAGTTGTCCAATGTTCCACTAACAAAGCCTCTAGATGTGAATATGTGCCTAAATGCTCAGGGAATATCTTTGATTGCTGTTTTCCTTCAAGTTTAAAAAAGAACAAACAACACAAAACTCAGCAACCAAGAGGAGCAGGAAAAATTGTGGCTTATATCTATAGTATTTAATGTAAATCAAGGAAGTTGCTCAACAGGAAACTCACAAACTTACTATGTGAGATAAAAATTTTTCACCTCAGGCAAGCACTTATTGCAATGATAAAGTGAAATTTTTATCAAGATAATTTGTTGCTGCAATCTCATACAATTGTGTTGAAATCATTCTTTGATACATTTTCACAACTCTTTTTCACATTTTCCTTTTGAGTTATCTACACTTTTTTTTCCTAGACTGCTCTTTTAATGTCAGCCAAGGAAAATACTTGCAAGTCTTCTGGTGAAAAATCATCATAAAGGCAATTAAAAGGAAAAGCCTTACTCTTGTATCCAGATAGTGATGTCAAATGAAGTAAATACACACATTAAGACTTTGATTTTTTTAATATTGAGATGAAGTTTCAAAAATACATTTTTTATATATGCAAATTCAAAACTAAGTATATGTCTTGTATTTGTTGAAGGTACAGCTTTAGAAATGATACAAAGGTTTGCTAGCTAGAAAAGCTGTTTAGTGCTGAATGGTTTGAATTATTCCTGTTGCACTCTATATTAATTTGTTCTTGTAAATCAGAGTGCAAGTATGCAAATTACAAAGTAGGATCTGTGATTTGCTGCCGAAAGACAGTAGGTCATGTTTTTTGAATTTTCCACGGTCAAACGATGTTTATTTCTGGGCATGAAATGTATCCTTCACATCTTTTGTCATCAGATTACCAGAACACTTGGAACTACTGTTAAGAATAGGTGCTCCACATGGACTTATTTTGATTAAATCTCTATTATGCACAAGACAATGAGAAAAAGACGTTATATGTAGCAATACTGTTGGGAAAAAAAAACACTAAAGAATTCATACAGGATTAGCAAAAGCAGCAGTGAAGGTCTGAGAAAGTCTGCTGGAAGCAAATGTGTCCATCTGTGATATTTCATTTTGAAAGTGCAATCAGAAGACGTATATAGAAAGCCTCAGTTACACGCTTGCTTCTGATCTGCTTTAAATTATCATTTGCTATTATTGAACAGTTTTTATCTCTGTAGCATACAGTGAATGAAAGGACACTGTAAAGGGGAAACTGTAGATCCTTTTTCTGTTGAATACATGTGAATACAATGCTACTGTCTGCTAATTGCTGCCCGCTTCAACATTTTCAGGAGTCTAGAGGCATGCCATAGAAAAGACAAATGAGTCAAAAATCATGAACTGGCATGTTTTTTGAAATGTCATGCATCATTTCTATGCCCAAATTGCAGTTCTGAGGAATGAGCAGAAAATGATGATGGGAGGGTTATGTTTCTCATGTTCATGTTTCCTAATTAAATAAATCTTTATTGTATTTGAATAAGAATTGCAAGGATCTTCCACCACAAACTGCAGTCAGGGAGGGTATCTAGATATTTGGATATCCACTAACTAACTATTTCTGGCTAGCTACCCGTCAGTATTCAATATACATCTGTATACATACTTATTTTATTTTACAAGATTTTTCAGTCCTGAAATACAGAAAATTCAGGAGAAAGTCTTTTCCCTCTTGTCTTTTTTGAGGTCTGCAGAAAGGAGAGGTTAACTTTTTTTACATTGCATCTCATTGTTTTCTGTATATCTGCTCCTATCTTAGTTCATCCTTGGCTTAGGTACTGTTAAAATCATGCTTTTTAAACCAGCTTTCTCAATAATCTGGTAACTACCACAGCTGTTCCTTTAATCTGATAGACTTACATAACAACTGTCCTTTCTGATCAAAAATAACATTCTTAACATCAATAAATTCTTAGGATTTTCTGACAGGAAATGTTTCCTGGGACATGCAATATGTTGTTGGAGTATGCTTGTCAATATTTTTTCTGGAAAATAAATCAAGAATTCTAACAAGATAACTAAACAATAAACTAAAAAAATTATCTCTTTGAGCTAGGATGCATTTCTTTTTCATTCTTATTTGTTCTAATAAGATTTGACATTCCTCCTCCGAATATTTTTTCACATATAAGCCTGTATTGTCTCTTGACTTACTATATTTTTCCAGTCCATCTTCTCAAAATAATTCCATTTTCCAAGTTTAATACATTTAAGCCTTGTAATATTTTCCTCAGATTATTGTGGTGTAATCTTAAACTTCTACTTTCAGTTGTTTCATATGAGTGATAGAATTAATACTCTCTGAAATTTCTGATTTTTTTCAAGTAACTGAATAGACTGGAGTCAAGAATTGCTTGGTAAACGAACATTTATGTTTACTTATGTTTCAAGGTTGGATAAGAAATGCTAACTGACATGTTAGCACTCCTGTGGCAACAACAGTAAATGGTTTATTCCTTCTTCTGCTCCTCTGCAGTTAAACTAAGTAACAGAATTAACTACATAAGTAGCTATGTAAAATGGAAAATCCAGGTAAATTGTTGAATCCTTTATATATATGATCAAAACACTATTTTGAAGTAAACTTTAGAAACAGTATTGGATTTTTTTCTCTGAGGGGAGCTCAGCTAAATCCTCCAAATGCTTATGTCAGGCAGAATTCTGACACACAAAGATTTAGTGTGCTGTCTCCAGAAATGGCACAGAATACTCCTATTTGGTTTGTAGAAGCAGAGAAATTTAAAATTTTTAAATCATAGAAACTTGTGCAAGAAAGAGGCATGATAGTGACTACAATCTCCACAGAAGTGGAAGATGTCAGTTATTATTTTTTTTTCTCCAAATGCATTGACACTACTATTAATGTTTGGAGTCTAACAGAAAGAACTGGTGATGTGTTTTGTTCTCCCTTTGATATTAATGCTAAAAAGAGTTTTCCAGATTCTCCAGAGACCCTTTTAGATTTCTATATTTATTGAAGAATCCATTGCCACAGAAGGTTTGAAAAGCAGTTTTAGGTAAATCAGTAGTTATTGTAGCATATGTCATAAGATTTTTTCAATCTCCTTATGTAAGTATTTCTAGTAAAATGATAAGTGTTTTCTGTATGCTGTTGCATCTGTCCCCTTTGTATCTTCTACTGTAAGAAAAGTTCAACTGGTCACAATTAGTTTGTCTTGGTTGAAGAACTGGAGCTTTGTAAGTAATGAATAAACAGTCAAAATTGCAGGGAAGAAGCTCTTTCTGTGTTTGACCAGAATGAGAAGCTCTACTAAACAGTGTTATTGCGCTCTTTGTGTCGTATTTTCCACGGAAATAAATAAGAGGCAACCTGCATATTTTTTTCCTGGTGAAGAACATTGCTTTTTAAAGTTCCTGGGTATACTTCAGTTGGAAGTAGATGCTTAACAACTGTCAGCATCATGTGAGCTTCTAAGTATTTGCTGATTTACAAGGTTCTATTATTTATAAAAAACATTAAAAACAATTATTGCTGTAGAATTGCTGCATAATTTATCAGCCCTAACACAGATCTGATTGACATAATTAGTTCTATTGAATGCAAAGTGAAAAATGAGAAAAAATTATTGGTACTGATGTACTAAATGAGTAAATGAAGAGTGATCAGTGTTGTCTAAAGTCTTCAAGCAAATGTTCTACTCCTGTAGACAGCTCTGACATGAGCTGAAGATGCATTACACTTTTTTTTATCTCATTCAGAAAATAGCAAAGTAATTATGAGAAATCATGTCACAGTACAAGATTTAAAAAAACCTTCTAAAACAATGCAAGACCACAGTCTATCTTTGCCATGCTTCAAGAACTTCAATTAATTAATTAATATTCTTTCTCTACTGTGAAATGGTGAGAAGGTATAAAGATATTTTTGAGCGCTGCAATTTGTTATTCTTGAGAAATGAAAACCTTTGTTAAATTTGTATGATCATGACGGTAAGGAGCAATTTTGCATTTAAAGTTTTTTTTATTGAGTGTTATTTATCATTCAGTTTTAACTTTGGTACAATTCTGATGAGTAAGCTGGTATTTTAAAATTGCTTCTATATTTTTTTTCAAGAGAACTAAAGCATGTGAGAAGACCATTACAGTTGGGCAGACAGTCATCGCAAAACATCGGAATACAAGATACTACAGCTGCAGAGTCATTGGAGTGACATCACAGCTTTTCTATGAAGTCATGTTTGATGATGGCTCTTTTAGTCGGGATACTTTTCCTGAAGACATCGTGGTAAGTACTTTCTTACACAGGGGTTGGTTTGTTTTGCTATTCACCTTTTGTTTTTGAAGATTAGCGAGATGGAACATCTTGAACTACTTCTTTTGACCTTGAGGAGATAATGTTCTAATGTTTGGTTTGTGTTTGTTACTTTTGCTGCTGAGATTGATTCTTTTCTAATGGGCTTCCGAATGGTGGTTGTTCTAATTAGTCTTTGCCATTTCACCAAATGTATCAGAAGTAATCTTACAAAGACTTTTAATTAAATGAGAAATATGTATTTAATAAAGGAGATGAGAGAGGGAATTCCATGTATCCTTATCTGTCTCTCAGAGATAACTTGTAAAAATTCCTTGCTGAATAGAAAAATCCTGCTGTAATGGGAAGAATAGCTCTCATGAATCAGTTCTAACAACTTGTTTACACCTTCTGATGTTTAGCTTGTGAGATTACATTATTAATGATAAAAATCATCAGGGAGGAGAATGTGTAGTTTACTGCATTTCTAAAAAGCAGTTGAGATTTTTATTTCCCTAATGCACTTATATAAGCTGCCATGTTTTTCAGAACTGTAAAGGACTACATTGTGAACTTAGTGGATCTGAACAGAATTTGCAAACAATTGTGAAAATACTCCTTTTCCTTCCTCATTTATAATGAGTAGATTGGATGATAACATTTGTTCTGTTCATCAGGTGCTTCATGATGATTGCACTGCAGTATGACTGATCCTCTTTTAACCTTCAAGCATGTCTGAGACTTCTCTATGCTGAGCTTATTTTCTGGTGTATCTCCGGATAAATCTCTGGAAGTTAGAGCCTCCAGGGTACACTGGCTTGCAGAAGTGCTTTGTGTTGCCAAACTGGTTTTACTTTGCCCTATGCAGAGGTGGAGAGTCTGGCATACACACCAGTGCATAAGAATATATACTTTATTAATATATTTTTCCAGAGATACAACCCTTAGCAGGGGTTCCTCTGTGTTCCTTTAATGCAAAGATGTCTTTGAGCTATTCTGTTTTTTGCAGGCCTAATGTTTTCCTGGAGGTAGAATTAGCTGACAGATAGCATCGGCGGAAATGATACTGTTGTTGTTAGAAGCTTCATAGTTACTGAAAAGTTGTCTGCCTTTTGAAAATACAGCATTTTGAGAGGGTACACTTCAGAGCAGTATATGGGGATGGAGCTGTTTCCCTCCCACTGCCGTTAATAGAAAACAGTTAGCAATTCCTCACTACATGTCTAAAAAATTTATCCTTTAATTTGAAACACTCTGAAAGGCTCCATTAATGATCAAACTTTGATTTAGGATGATCAAGATATTAAGCAAATGTGGCTGTATTGTTATTAGAAACCCCTCTTTTGTATATGTCTGCATCATGGTATGGCAGCGATGAGAAACTGCTTGCCACCCTAGTGGGGTATTCTGATCTTGAGCTAAGAATAAATGTAATCAGGTCTGGATATGCCTCAGTGCTTCCTAGATAGTGGATGAACAACATATAATTGTTTGATGGAAACACCAAACGAATTTCACATTCCTTAGAGAAATCTTGTTGTGTTTTCATTAGATAATACACCTGCAGCCGTTACTGGAAGGGAGGAAAAAAATGTTTTTTCTTCTGCCTGGACTAAAACTTGCTAATCCATGCAATGTGCGTATCAGGTGTTAGTGCCGCCGGGAGGACTTATTCATCAAATCTGGTGTGAAAGCAATGTTGCTGCCTATTGAAGAACTTATTTTTCTAATCTGTTTTCACTTTTCAACTAGCTCACAAAGATAGCAGCAGCTTTCTGCTTTCCCAGTATATGCTGAATCCTCTACATAATTTCAGCTCAGCTCACAATAGACCACAATTCCAGTGTTCAGACACAGTGATTTATTTTTAAGAAGGAAAACAGGGAGCAGGGAAATTTCAGTCTCAAAGCTTCTTGAGACTGTTTGCATGTAAGCATTCAATAACTTCCGATCAGGGTGTACTTTGTTCTGTTCTCATATGTATTTTTTACTGTTTGCATTGACATTTACTATATAGATCAGGATTTATTAGCTGCAGGTGTCAGATATATAGGTGTAGCAATATAGATTCCTTTTATTTCAAGCATTTGCTTGAAATATTGTACTGTGTTTGATTTCTGCCTTGTCAAAATTTCTGTTAGACAGCAGCATTTTGGTGTGCTAAGAAGCCAGCTTTCTCTCTATCTGGTAACTGTTAGAGGGTGCAAAGAAGTGTCTATAGGTACATATTTTCTGTCAGAAACAGAGGGACAGCTTCTTCTTTAAATGACAGAAAGACTGCCGTGAAGGGATAGTGTGTGATATCTTAAAGGATGTGAGATGGCAGCTGCGGCAGTTACCTTAACCATGCCAACATGCAAGGGGTGGAGTGCATATGCTTCAGTCCGGAGTAACTCCTTCCGAGAAACAACCAGCATGCCACTTGCTACTTCTTGAAGGACTGATGTACTCTAGCTTGTCACACAGCTGCTAGTTCAGCAACAGAAGGGATTGTGTCCAGCTCGACAGGACAGATGTCAGTATACCAATTCCGCATCAGGAAGTACCTCAGGTCTTTGGCCTGCTCAATTCTTTTTCATGCCTGATGGCCATATCTTCAGTGGTACAGTGTGGCAATTTGCTGTAAATTAATATTCTCAGTCAGATTTATTTAACTGTTTATTTATTTATTTGCTTTTCTATACATTGTAGCTGTCAGTATCGCTTACTAGCAAGTATAACTGTACACACACGTGTGTGCATATATGAAACTTGAAATTAGAGCTAAAGATGCAGTTATTCCTATGTTTTTTATGCAATTGAAATCTCAGCTAAACAAGGAGGCCTTGCAGCATATGTAACTGGGGAAAGAAAGGTTTCACCAAATTATATTTATTCCAAGGAAGAGAAAAACAAAAAGAGATTACAGATGAACATGCTTTGCCTAATGGTGACTATGTGAGTATGTCTGATTACAGGAGAGGTGAGCAGATCTCTAATGAAATGCCAAACATTGTTTCCAGCCATTTGCCCAACTAATTACTGTGGTTCTCCAATTGCCATTTTAAACAGAATTGTTTGCTGTCATGGTTTCACCTTGTGGCTGTCAGGCAAACTAGGTGAATAAAAATAAGAGTACTTATTCATCCTGTCTGGTGACGTATCTACACTGTGTTTTAGTTTACTATCAAGTTTATAAATCTAGGGAGTCTCCACACAGATTGTAAGCTGATCTGTGAGTTGTCATGCCTACAACCCAAAATGGACTTTACTGATTAAAAGCAATAAATTGAATACCTTCCAGTTGTGGTTTAATTCTGGGAGGCAGCTAAGCACTGAACAGCCACTCACTCACTGTCCCCACAGGGGACTGGGAAGAGAATTGGAAGGGCAGAAGTGTGAGAAGTCATAGGATGAGATAGTTTACAAAGTAAAGCAAAAGCTGTGTGCACAAGCAATACAAGCCAAGAAATTAATTCACTGCTACCCACAGGCAGGCAGATAGATACTCAGGCACTTCTAGGGAAGCACTGCTCATCACATGTAAATTTCTTGTGAAGACAAACACTGTCACAAGCAATATGCCCTCATTCTTCCCTCTGCAGCTCAGCTTTTGTTGCTGAGCTTGGCATTGGGTGGTTTGGTGTATCCACTTGGTCAGTTTGGGCCAGCTGTCCTGGCTGTGTCTCCTCCCAACTTCTTGTGCAGCTCCAGCATTCTGGCATGAAGAAGAGCATAAGAAGTAGAAACGTTCTTGAGTCTATGGAAGCTTGGCTCCTATGGAAGCAGCTCTTACGTGGCTGTGTGATCAGCACTGTTTCCATAAAAAATCCAAAGGAGAACATCTTATGAGCCTCTGTGACAAAAATGATCTCTGCCAGCCAAAAGCCCGACACATCCTAAATGCTCTTTCAGCTGATGGAATGTTGCTGTAAATGTTCATTATCATGCAACAGCATCTTGAGGGATGTGGAAGAGAAGTGTGTATGATTAGGTGTTAGGAGATAGATATTCAGGAGTCCATGTGTTTGTTTTTCAGACCATGTTATGATGGTTTCCTCGGGTCTTGATAGAATGCCATAATTTTACTTATAAAAAATTGTTGACATGTAGATTAAAACAGCATCTATACTGCACCTGTCAAAAGCAGGAACAAGGAAGTTTTGCATAACAAGTAGCTTGATTTGTGTGTTTTGGGTCTGACACTGTTTTCTGACACACCCACAATGATATGTGGCAACCTTAACCTTAATCAGCAGAATTGCGCTGATGCTAATTTAAGTATCTTCTTTCAGTACTGCACCCAAGAGAGCCTTTGCCATCAGGACAGTGTAGATTACGCTCTATCTTTTTGTGTCTGTCAATACTGTAAAATCACTATTATCAGAAGAGGGAGGAATAGGACTATTTGGAACTCTGACAGCTGAAATACATCACTGAAATTATCAAGAAGGATACAACATTTCACAGTGTGCACCTAAATTTCACAGAACCCCAAATTATTATCTTCTCCTTTCTTTGTAATTAATTTGAGCTCATTTTACTTAATAGTATTTGTAGGCAGACCTACCAGAATCATATCAGTGTAATTTAAGAAAAGCCTTTTCTCAGACAGACTTTCTTTGCAATTCTCTACCTCAGTCCCTGCTGACAAATGCTCACTTTATACCTCTACAAAATTAAGAAAACTTCAGTAACTCATGACTCACACTCCGGTGTATACATACACGGTGAGCATAGGCTTGCCAATTATCCCTTCTTTCTTGCTGAATACGGACTTACTGATATTCTGAATGATCCTTTCTAGCTTATATGTCTTCCCGAGATCAGAAGCCACATAGGCATCTATTATCTTGGAAGTTGTCCAATACGAAGTGAACTGATTGCAGCATAGGTGTAGGGGTAAGAATACAAATTGTCCTGAGGGTATTATTGTAAGGCTGCTGAGAGACAGAACAAATTTGCTTCATCCTCCTTTGAGATACAGAACCAATGGGATTTAGCTGGGCAGCTCC